TGAGGATCAATGTAAATTTAAGATATGAATTATCACTTTCAATATGATCTGGATATCTAACTTGAGCACACAGATAATCAATAAATTATTGATTGCTCTGTAGTTCAATTCAGCTTAAAAAAACCTATTTTAAGCACTTAGCTTAAGTGCTCACTATACACATACTTAAGAAAAAAATAATGAAATTACCCTTGCACTCAAGGAGTTTATATTCTACTAAATAGAAATGTTCCAAACTGTGCTGCTGGCTCTCTGGTCTTCATCCTTCTCTCACTGGAAATCAGACTCTTCCCCTAGGACCCTAGGCTCTTATAGGTGAGTTTCTACCATATCTTCCTGGGAACTTGGCTTTCATGCCATTTCCAGGCCATTTGCAAACCATTACCACCACCTCCTACTCTCCATTTCCTCTTTCTTCCACAGACAGAGGAGTGTATGGAGTGTTCAGAGAGGACTGGCACCTCTGTGTGATGGCTTGCTGAGCCCTTTTCAGGGCTTGCTTATCCACCTCTGTTGTCCACCTTCACCCCTCTCACCTGTGGCTCCAAGAAGTTATAGTGTGTGAGGTAGCTATACCCCAGTAAAAATCATCTCAGCAGATGGCTAAATCAGGCTAAGGGTAACCAATGAGTTTCTCAAACCCATCGATGAGTTACGGGGATGTTTACCCAAAGCATGTGAAGACTTACCCCAGCAGAATGCAGGGATGACTTACCCCAGCAGAATGCAGGGATGAGAACATTTTGTTCCAGATGCTGTGAAAGTGGCTGAAGCAAGCATTGTGGAGCACTTAGAGTCTGAACTAAGGTCTTCCTGATTCTGGGATATAGCTAGGTGGCATATGGATAGAGCACTTGGAAACCTTATTTCCCTGAGTTCAAATCTGGCCTTAGACTCTTACTAGCTGTGTGACCCTGGGCAAGTCACTTCATCCTGTTAGCCTCAGTTTCCTCATCTGTAAAATGAGCTGGAGAAGGAAATGGCAAACCACTCCAGTATCTTTGCCTAGAAAACCCAAATGGGGTCACAGAGAATCAGACACAGCAGAAATGACTCAACAACAAACAATAGTTTCATGATTCCAGGCGCTGCATTCTATCCACTGCACCACCTACTGAGGTTTGTTGTTGTTCCGTTGTGTCTTACCTTTCATGAGCCCACTTGGGGTTTTCTTGGTAGAGATACTGGAGTGATTTGCCATTTCCTTCTCCAGCTCATTTTACAGATGAGGAAGCTGAGGCAAACAAGATTAAGGTACTTGTCCAGGGTCACACAGCTAGGAAGAGTCTGAGGCCAGAGTTGAACTCACAAAGAGGAGTCTTCCCAACTCTAGACCCAGCACACTATCCCCTGTGGTTCTTAGTGCATAGTAAGCATTTGAATGCTTTTTCATACATACAGATTATAATTCCTCATTATCTTATCTTTTCAGGCTGCTATTTAAGATTATGTTGATAACTGTGTTTGACTAGTTATTTTCTTCTTTAGTTCAGTCAGTTGCAAAATAACCCATGGGTTAGTAGTTTTACAAAACTGATTTCCTACAGATAAGCAATAACAAAACTATTTTCAGTTCCTGACTTTTAAGAATTCCCAAATTGTTATACCCACTGATAGATAATTTAAGAATACAGTATTTAGAAGACTAACAATTGGCAGGGTAGAATTTGAATCATGTCAACTTCATCTTAAAAGGAACCTGGGTTCAAATTGGGACAACCTGATACTGGCTGAAATCAAGATAACTAATGCTTCCTCGCCTTTACCAAACTTACTTTGCCAGGTGACTGCATTTTTTAAAAGACTTGAAGCCTTCAATATTTAATAGTTTTATAACACTTTTCTCCTGATTTTCCTTCCTATCTGACCAGTTCTTGGAAGTCTTCTTAATAATGATGATGACAAAAACAATCATTGTATAGCTAGCTTTTGTATAGCACTGTAGGGTTTCCAAAGCACTTTACAAAAATGTTGTTTTGTCTTCACAAAACTTTGGAACATAGGTCTTTTGTCTCTACTTTATAGATGAGGATACCGAAGCAGACTTATCCAAGCCACATCCCATAGCTAATAAGTACCTGAGATTGGATTTTAACTCAGTTGGACCTGCCTCTGGGTCCATTGCTCTCTATCCTTTGTACCACCTACCAGCCTCTACACTATTGTACGGTGGAAAGAGTGCTAGATTTGGACCTTCTTTTGAATCCTGTCTCTGCCAGTTACTAAAGGATGACATCTCTGGGCATCAGTTTATTTATTTGTAAAATAAACTGGTGGAACTAGATGGCTTCTAAGGTTCCTTCCACCTCAACTTAAGATTCTATCACCTATGTTGAAGGTAGTGGAAGATGTGAACTTAAGTGAGCTCAGTTGGGAGGAACAGAGTACATGAAGGAGAATATTATACAAATTAGACTAAAGCATTTGTATTTTATCCTGTAGGCAATATTTAATCTCTGAAGGCTTTTAAACTGGGAAATCATATATATATCCAGACTTCTGCACATTAGGAAGGTTATGTGGGTAGACATATGAAGGATGGATTGAAGAGAGGAGACATTGGAGGCAGGGAGACCAGTAGCCAGGTGAGATGTAATGAGGGCCTGAACAAAGAAAGTCATCATGAATGAATGAAGCATTTATTAAAAGCTCACTGTATGGAAAATTTTTTTTAAAAAAGAAGCTCACTGTATACAAAGGACTGTGTTAAGCTGTGGAGAGAGAAACAAAAAAGTAAGACTACCCCTGCTCACATTATAATGAGGAAGACAACATGGAAGGTTTCCAGTGAAAATCAGATGGAAAGGTCTCATCGTCTCCATGACCCTTAGGGTGCAGCAGCAAAGTAGATGGTAGTACCTCCTTTTAAATGTCATTTCTTCTGATAAAATAATATTAGTTTCTTATTTTGGACTATTTGATAGCACTAAGGATTTTGGTGCCAAGAAATCTCTTTTCTCTGCATCTGCATAGGGGTTACTTCCCAGGTTAATAGCTGTGGGCACTGATTGGAAGCATTATTATTCCCAAGGCTCTTGGGATCAGGTTCCAGAGCTGCTTCTTCGAAGCTTAAGGGGAGACTATTGTCAAGATTGTGGTGGTGGTCTAACTTGCCTGGCACATGCTGCCTCCTACCTCTCCCTCAGTGTGCCCTGCTGTTTCAGCGAAGCTGGTTTGTCCTCCCTTTGAGTGGCATTTGGTGGGGATAGCTGGTCTTTGCTTTGTTAGATGGTGGTCACAAGGGCTGCTAGGCTGGAAGTGGGGCCAGAGATCTGAGGAAGAGGGTACTGCTCTTGTGCAGATCTGCCTGTTGAGGCACTTACTCAATAGTTGTCACTGTCTCAGTAGAGTGGAAAGGAGGTCGACATGGACTTAAGTAGATACTGGTTCTAATCCTGCTTCCCATGGATTGCAAGGCAATCAGTTTAAACCTCCATCATAGAATTGCTGTCTTACTATAGTAGCTGTTGCAAACTTTTTCATCCCTGTTCAAGCTTCCTGTGGCATCCCTCTCAGCTGAGGACCTTGATTCACTAAAAAAAAAAAATCACATAGCAAAAAAAGAAAATATTTTAAAGCTTAAATTCATATGTAACAAGTAAATTGGAATGACTGTAAATTCTCTTGAAAGCTCTAAAATAGCTGATCCATTATGATTTAAAGAAACAGAAAGAAACTTAATATACTGCTTGTATGTCAGATCCTTATAATTATTAAGTTATTTTGTTATTTTTACAGTCTCTTATGATTTTAAAATTTATCTTCAAATGGTATAAAGTGAGTTTTCACAAACCAAAATCATAACATTTCTGAGGTGTTGGTTCATTTTTGTTTAAACTCATATTATCCCCCATTATTGTTCACATGAAACAAAGAACTGTGTGTTTTCCCCCAGACTTATCAAAATTATGTGTTTCTGCATAAATTTTATAAACTGAACCCCCAAAGCCCAAAATAATTCAGGACAAAATATACTATCTGTATTTTAGTATAGTGCTTGGGACATAGAAGGCACTTAATATTTATTGATTGACTGGAAGTTTGGTATGCTTTCTTAAAACAAATGTTAACAAAGCACAGAAGTAAAGTGAGAATATAAATGTTCTCTTATGCCAGATATTCAGAAAATTAGACAAAAACATATATTCCTAAGTCTTGGCTTTCAGGAAAGTAGTTCTTTATAATGATTTGAAGATCAAAATGATAGTACTGACTCAGGTGTTCAATTGGATGTAGACTGATTGTAATCTTTGGAGTATTTCATAGCCCTTTAATATCGGCTCTGAGTGTTAAAAGGCATTGTAACCTGATGATGGTCATGGTTGTTAATGGTTTGTATTAGCTGGAAGCTATAAAATCATCCAAAGACTCTGTTAGTGTTAGAATAATAATTTACCAAGACAATTACCACATGCTGGAATTTTTGTGCAGTGCTAATTCAGTATTATTAATAATGAATAAAATTGCACTTTTTCAGGTTGCTAGGGGCAATGGGGAATTATTTCAATGAATATTTCAGCACATTATTTTAATCATAGCTCCACAAAATTCAAGTGGGCAATATTTTATACTTCTAAGTTCAGTCTACTAAGGGACCATAGTCATTAAATTGCAAACTATTTGCACTGAGGTCTATCCTATGATTTACAAGCCTTGTTAAAACACTATAAAACAAAACAGGTTGTGCCATTAATACTTATAATTTGATGTTGTATTTGTTACCTCACACTGATTATGTTTTTAGTAGTAGTAAGTGCATTTTGAAGAAGACAGAGTTGAGTGCTTTAATGGCAAAATAGAAGAATAAAATATGTGTTTGTGTAAGTTTTGAAAAAAAATTTACACACAAATGTTTGTAAGACATATTTATAAATTTCTCAAATTTTAATAATGAAAAAGAAATAGAAAAACCTAAATTTTAAGAAAATATTATTTCAAATTATTCATTTCTTATAAATATCATGTTTAATATGTTGTGGGATTTCATTTCCACCTTCTAGCCAACTGCATGATTTCTGGCGCTTAGATTATTGGGAAGATGACCTGCGTAGACGGAGAAGATTTGTTCGCAATGCATTTGGTTCTACTCATGCTGAAGCCTTGCTCAAAGCTGCTGCAGAATATGGTTAGTACTTATACCTATGATGTAAAGATATTTCAGTTTGTTTATGTGCCTAGCTATGGTTGAGAATTCATGATTTTGTTGGCATTAGCACATTTTCTCAAACCATTCAGAAATGACAAAGATTTTTTCGCATCTTTACTTTTCTTCAGTTTTGGGCCTAGCATCAAAACCTCTACTACTAGTAACTCAGAAATTCTCTCAGAGTCTACAGCATCTTTCTTCGATAAGTCAAAAGTATTGACATAGTTGATTATCATCAAATTTCATCAGAGCATCTTTTACAGCTTGAGATTGCAGGCATCATATGTCACCATTACAAGCCTGCTACATAGCAGAATATGTACTCATTGTTGCCCAGTCAGTAATCTTGGATAGGCTTGTATTGTGTTTCTGACCATCAGACCCATTTTTAATGCTATAACGAGCTTAGTTTAGATTTTATTCACCTATTTTTGTTCTTCAGGAGAAAGAAATACATTTCCATCTCTCATTTCTATTTTTATGCAAGTATTTCATACACCTTTGATATACAGTAAATACAGTGTTGTTGCTTTATTTGTGTTTACACTTACTTGTTCGTGTTTTTCCTTTATGTCAGTTTTCATATATTTGGTAGATGTTAGAACTCTTGGAGGGTAGGACTGTTTTGCTTTCTTTGTTTTATCAGTACCTACCAAAGTATCTTGCACATTGTAAACACTGAAAGGTTTGCTGAAACTAGAGTAGAGTAAAATTCTAAATGGAGCATCTGGTGGTAAATCAGATCACAAGATGAATTTAATGCAATGACATTTATCTCTTTGGTAGAATTGCATGGTAAAACAGCTACTTGTAATAAAAATGCTCACTATAAAATTAGCCCAGTACAGTGTTCAAGTATATAATTTATTTAATAGGTTTCAAAGCATCAGTAAACATCTTAATACAAATAATATCTGTAGTTTCTATAGTTAATTTAAAAAATATATAAGGCATTAAGTGTTTCACATTTTAGAATTTAAGTGGATTTATGCTATTTGCTTATTTGAAGAAAGGGTTTTCTGGGAAATTGAATAGTAGAACAGTATGCAGTGGATATGTTTAACCAACTTAAGAGAACAGCTTTTAAAGTATTTAACCATTACAGTGGTTCTTAATTAGAAGTACCTTTTATCTCCTAGGTAAAGTAAGTCCTACATAGCTCATATGTGTGGAACCACTTCTTAAATAGTATGCCTAGAAGTACTTCCAGTCTCCTCTTTGTCCATTCTCCACATCTTTGCCAAAACAATTTGCCTAAATTTTAGATATGATATCTTATTCCTCAACTTAATAAACTCCAGTGACTCTGTTGACTTTAGAATCAAATATAAGCTCCTTTGTTTCATTTAAAGCCCAGAAAAACTTGGTCCTAATCTACCTTTCTATCTTTATTGTAGATTACTCCCCTTTCTACACCTCACATTATTCTTGCTGCTCCTCACCTCCAGCACTCATCTCCCATTGCCAAACCTGTGTATTGTCCTTCTCCCATGCCTAGAATGACCATCCCTCCCACCCCTTGGAATCCTTGTTTCCTTCACAGCTCTGCTCAAGCACCATCTTCTCAATCTACCCTTTCCTCACCCCTCCTCCTGATGTCAGTCTCCTTCCACAAACATTCTCTAATATTGATTGTATATACTTAATGTATGTGCAAAATACTTAAGTCTAATTGTCTCTTCCAATAACAGGAGCACCTTGAGGGGACAAAACTGCTTCATTTTTTGTCTTTGTAGCACAAAACAGTGTGTGCCTGACACAGCCACTTGATACATGCTTGGTAACTTAAATTCCACAATTCAGACTTTTGCTTAATTTACACTAACTTTGACCCCCAATAAAATCAAAGTAGGAGAGATTTTGTATTATGGATAATTCAATAAAATAAATATTAATCACCTACTGTGTACAAACTGCTGTACCAGGTTTTAAAATATAGGGTGGGGGCAGCTAGGTGGCAAGGTGGATAGAGCACCAGCCCTGGAGTGAGGAAGACTTGAGTTCAAGTCTTACTAGCTGTGTAACCCTGGGCAAGTCACTTAACCCCAGTTGCCTTAGGGGAAAAAGAAAATATGGGGTGAAATAGACACAGAGCTTGTCTTTAAAAACTTTATAATCCAGCAAGGAGACTAAAACATATACACATAATTATGTTATATGACAATGTAATAAATGCTTACAGTTATGAGAATTTTAAGGGAACAGGTCACCTTTATGCATTTTCAAAGTTGGAAGGGACCTCAGAAGTCATCTAGTCTAACACCTGCCTGAACCAAAATTCCCTGTACAATTTCCCCTTCTAAGACTCTCTCCCCTTAAAAAATTTGCACAACACACTTTTAAGCCAAGATTCCCTGTATAGCTTCCCTAACGTGTGGTCGTATTTCCTAAAATTAATCATATTCATAATGAATTGATATTTACATAGCACTTTGAGGTTTGCAAAGTAATATATTTTACCGTATACAACAAATCTGAGATGTATGTGCTACTTTTGTCTCCAGTTTACAGATACGTGAGCTGGAGCTAATGGAAGTTGAGTAACTAAGCCAGGGTCCAGAGCTAGTAAATGTCTAAAGCAGGTTTTGAAATCAGGTCTTCTTGATTCAGAGTTCTGCCTTCTTTCCATTAAGCCAAATTGCCTTTTTGAAGGCTTCCGATTCCAGATAGCTCATCACCTCCTAAGATACCCCATTCTACTTTTTTCATGGCCGAGATTTTTAGTAGATTCTTCTTTATGTCAAGCAGAAATCTGCTGCTGAACAGATATTAATGGAGGGAACCAGAGATGTCTTTGTGTATTAGAAAGCCCTAGAATTTGACAAGGAAGCTCTGGAACAGTTTTAGCCAGTGAGGGTAAAATAGCATGTTGAAAGTACGTAGGGGTTATGTGAGCAAAGGCAGGAGGGCAGAAGAAGGCCTCAGAAACAAGGGAAGTGGCTTGTTGAGGGTGGCTATAACAGAGCATGTGACAGCTGCTTTTCTGGAGTAGATGGAGTTTCAATTTCCAGTAGAAATTCTGATCTGTGGAGAGAACATCCAGATTATTGAGTTAGGTTTTTCACTTCACACCCAAATGTTTTGGTGTGGTATACAGTTAGTCAAAGTATACATATTTATACTTAATACCCCATGGGATACTCTTTCCATGAATACTAGGCATTAGTATGCTGAAAAATGTTTTAACAACTGGTTCTCCCCCCCCCAAAAAAAAAAGTATACACAACACACTTTTAAGTTTAATCTACATCATTAACATTTTCTCTCATCACTTTCATAAGTCTACTCTAGACAATCAAAAAAACAATAAAGCTCTGACTTTTAGTTACCTGATTTTCAAGGAGTGAATGCTTGCACTTAAAGATGTAAATACACTGGAAATTAACAATCTTGAGGGTTCAAGCTCACTCTAGCATACCCCTGGTCCTACGGTACCCTTTGGTCATGTAATCCTAACACTGTAAGTCATTATTACCTCCATCATTACATTTGACCTTGTCAATCAACCAGTAGGCACAATTAACTTATAACAAAGGGTTTTAATAATCTGGCATAGAAGAAAACAGAACCCCACAAAAGCCTGGTGCACACTGTCTCCCAAATGTACAATGCATTTACAGAAAAAAGAGGGCACAGATTTGAAGTAGCAATGAGTCATATGTGTGTGGTTACTGAATGGCAAAGACAACTCACTCTTCCAGTACTACAAGGCCCTTCTTTTCTTTATCTCCTCTCTTCTCCTGAAGTCCTCATGCTGTTTTCCTCTGGGTATAGTGAGTGTGAAGGGCAGGTCACTTGGACTCTTAGGGTCTGCTCCTCTCCACAGATCAGCACCCTCTGCCAGGACTAGTTCTCCCTTGAGTCAAAGTGTGCTCTCTTTTCTGCTGCCAGCAGTACCACTCCTTGAAGTGGTAAGAATGAAGACTGTTTTCAGCTCTAATGAGCTCAGCTTTTTAAGGGGCCATCAGAATTGTAGCTAATCTTAACCAAGTGGCCAGGCTCCCCTTCCAATTCAATCAAGGAAAGATCTTTCCTATTTCCTAAAGGGTTGATGTGTATCAACCCAGCGTGTCATGGTATCTTATTAGTATAACAGTACCTCCCTCGTCTACTTTTTGCTTTCAGTGACTACATTAAAGGAAATGGGGGTGGGGAGAAGGGAGAAATCTATCTTGTTGCCTCTGGGCCTGAGGTCTTTACAGCTATTAGAATTTATGCTTAACTCTGCAAATATTTGTTAAGTATCTACTATATACAAAGCTGGATGGCATCGAGTAGTAGATAAAAAACAGCCCTCGGGTTCAGAAAGACCTGGATTCAAGGCCCATCTCTGACACTTAACTAACTGTGTGGCCCAGAAAAAATCGTCTAATCCTGCAGTGCCCTGGGCAGTTATCTAAGACTCTTTTTTCAGAGAAGATACATGTCTTCATTGGCAGAGAAAATTCATTGCCAAGAGCTCCCCAGACTGATAAATTTTCAGATCTAGTTTTTTAAAAAAAACAACAACAGTATAAGACACTATGCTAGGTTCTGGGAGTAGTTACAAAAAGTGGCATAATACCTGCTTTCAAGAAATTTACAATCTACACAAGAAGTGTTATCTGTTACTGCTTTTTAGACTTGAAAGTAAAATTGTGTCTGAACTGATCTAGTGACACAAATTTTTTGTCAGAACTATTTTCGTCATGGCAGCAACAATAACAATTATAGAGCTATTTTTAAAAAAATAAAGGAACCCTCCTTTTCTGTTGAATATATTTCACTCAGTGGTTCTATCTTTCTTGATTTTGAATAAGTTGTGTGAAGCCTTAGAGAGCTGTCTGGAATTGTTTAAGCACAGACTATTTACATAGCCATAAATCTACTTTATAAAGAAGCCCCACTGGGACTTGATACACTTGTCAGTCATTTCCAGCCATTAGTATCCATCAGGTAGCAAGCAAGGAACCCTAGATTAGAGTAAAATAGATCAGACT